TTATTCTTGTGTGCTTACAACAGGTAAACTTTTCCATCATAATATATCATCTGGCATTAAGTTTCGATTAAAGTTCAACTTTTTTTATTTTCCAGAAATTGGAATTGGAGGTGTTGTATGTTGTTCTGAGAGACTTTCCAAAGGCACTGCAAGATAAAACTTCATACATTCTTGAAAGCACTACTTGCGTTAAATATGTACAGTGTTATCTAAAATGGTAAGGGAAGTTAAGTTGTGCACTTTTCACACCAAAATCATGAACTAAAAATTTTACTTTGCATTCAGGTTTGAAATTATGATTTTCTTCCAGGATTATTTCGTGTTTCTCATGACATGCGCCGACCTCATTTGTACGCTAGAATTTTTCCAGTACGGTTCTTCTCATTCAGTTTTTTGCATCTATCATAATATCTTACCATAACTATACTAAAACCATACCATACCATAACATATCATATAATCATATCATATAATCATATCATATCATATCATAACTAACCATAACCAAATCATACCATACGATAACCATATAATTCCAAAATTATATCACACCATACCATACCAAGACAAATCATACCATACTATAACCATATCATACCATAAATATATTACACCATACCATACCATAACCAATTTATACCATAATTATATCATACCATACTAATGATTTAATTGGATATTTTATTGTAACATGTGAAGGTATTAACATAGCTGTGTACGTACCACATTTTTATTGGTCAAGATGAACAGGTAAGAACCTGCTTGACTTTATTTTCAGCGGTTGTCTGTTCTCGCTTAAACGTTGTTGTATATTTCGTCTAGTTTTGTCTGATGCGTACTTTGGAGATTGGTTTGGTTGCTCATTCCACGACCTTATGCGTATCCTGTCTCACCATATGTATGTTAGAAATGCTTTGCCAGTTATGACAATGTATGGCTACTTAAGATAGTCTGGAATTTGAGACTTTTTTATGTGCATTAGCACTTTGTAAAGAATGAAGTTGGTTTAAGTAATTGCAATGTTTTAGAAGTTTATTGCTTTGGAGATATTTGAAATCGTGCTTGATAATGCACTACGTGAATTTACAGAAATGTTTTTCAACAAACTCCAGCCTAAATTAACGTCTCTTGTTATGCGAGATACTCCTTCACAAATACAAGATTTTTTGAACAATAACTTCTAGATTTTCGTTCCTTAGACTGCTCCCAACATATCTGGAAAAGTTTACCAAACTTTCGCCAACGCCTCAAGTTGTCATACCACTGTTAGAATTTCTCTCTGAATGTTTCTTGAAGTTACGTAAATTAAGAAATCTTTTGCGAAATATCAATGTACCCCCTAAAGAGAGCTAGCTTGTATAAACACCCAATCGTATTCGGCGAAAAGTTGTTGATGAGTTGAAAATGTTTCACCTTAGATACTCTCAATACACGGTAACTCTTGCTGATAATGTCATTTCATCCTGGTTTGTCAATTGTCCACTGTTGTTAAGAAAGCAATTCGTGCCATTTATTTAAAAAGTAAGTCCACATCTCATTCTATTGCCACGGAGATTGCTTGCTAAATTTTCAATAGATATTAAGAAGTGGTCTTTAAACTTTATACAGCTTAGTCAGTGTTGTTACATAAACTTGTCCATTTCATGTTACATAATTTTGCTAATAATGAAGCTCGTTTTCAATCATTTGAAAACTCTGTTAAAATATATGTCCTTGTATTCCTTTAGAGTCTTAACAACACAGATATATGTTCAGATGCTGCAAACCCATACCCTAAAGTCACTCATCCCTCCACCAAATTCCAGTCACCCCCAAACTCCCTTGAGAAATCAAAGGAAGACTACAGGAACACACTTAGTTCAGAGATGATGGAAATCGTGGTTGATATGATGGTCAAATATACATTTTCTTCGTATTTGACCCAACCAAAAACGTCTGTATATTGGCTTCGTATTTTTCTGCACTGTGCTTCAAGGAAGATGACTATTTTGTTGTTTTTGTAGAACTGCAGTTGTAGAACCACAATGGAGCGTCAAGAAGTTGGTTGCTTGGCAATGTGTTGATCACGGTTACAGTCAACAAGCGGGCAACTTCGAACATGTCATGCGCATATTGTTCGGCAGGAAAAGTGTTTGTGGGAGATGATTCACTGCAGAAGGGCACGGAGCCTGAGGTTTTAAAAGTTGAGCTTAAGAGAAACAAGAACGAGGCCTCAATTAGTCAGGTAAGGAAAATGCTTTCAGTATCATTGTTTAAATTCGCATACGCTGTCTGCCCAGCGTATTTATTCTTAAACAACAAAATATATTTGGAAGAGCAACCAAGTTTAAATATTCTTCTAGTGAAAGCTCTTAGGAACGTATTTGACATTTCCAGGCTTCTTCAACTGATAGCAAAGCTCGTGCAGATGATTCTAGCCAGGTGTCAAACACAAAATTCGATACGAAAGCAGCTGACTTTCTTACCCGCGATTTAAAGGCCACTGGTACCGTAGGCTCAGTACAGAAATCTTGTGACTCAAGCAATGGGTGCAGTTGCGTTGGTCAAGGATGGGTTCAGATTCTAGTTCGAAGACGAATTAGAGATACTTCGTGGATTTTGAGACTACAAAGTCGGCCGAAACTCGATGAAACACAAACTTTACTACCAGCGGTGGGAAAGACAGGGATTTATGAAAGTTTAATTCCATAACAATCCTTTTGTAAGCCCATTTATTTTCTCAAACCTTCCCAACCTTCAATTGTGCCACGCGTCACTAGAGTTGTCGATGGGGAAAACTTTGTTGAAGTTTGCAAGTCAAAAGGCAAGTCGATTCTATCGCTACAAAAATTTTTAGAGTTTGCGTTTTTATTCTAAAATCCATTTTACTTCACATATTTCTTTAGTTGTTTAGTTATATTGGCAAGCAATTGCTTTTGACTTTCAGGTACGGTTCTTCTCATTCAGTTTTTTGCATCTATCATAATATCTTACCATAACTATACTAAAACCATACAATACCATAACATATCATATAATCATATCATATAATCATATCATATCATAACTAACCATAACCAAATCATACCATACGATAACCATATAATTCCAAAATTATATCACACCATACCATACCAAGACAAATCATACCATACGATAACCATATCATACCATAATTATATCACACCATACCATACCATAACCAATTTATACCATAATTATATCATACCATACTAATGATTTAATTGGATATTTTAATGTAACATGTGAAGGTATTAACATAGCTGTGTACGTACCACATTTTTATTGGTCAAGATGAACAGATAAGAACCTGCTTGACTTTATTTTCAGCGGTTGTCTGTTCTCGCTTAAACGTTGTTGTATATTTCGTTTAGTTTTGTCTGATGCGTACTTTGGAGGTTGGTTTGGTTGCTCATTCCACGACCTTATGCGTATCCTGTCTCACCATATGTATGTTAGAAATGCTTTGCCAGTTATGACAAGGTATGGCTACTTAAGATAGTCTGGAATTTGAGACTTTTTTATGTCCATTAGCACTTTGTAAAGAATGAAGTTGGTTGAAGTAATTGCAATGTTTTAGAAGTTTATTGCTTTGGAGATATTTGAAATCGTGCCTTGATAATGCACTCAGTGAATTTACAGAAATGTTTTTCAACAAAATCCAGCCTAAATGTAACGTCTCTTGTTATGCGAGATACTCCTTCACAAAACAAGATTTTTTGAGCAATAACTTCTAGATTTTCGTTCCTTAGACTGCTCCCAACATATCTGGAAAAGTTTACCAAACTTTCGCCAACGCCTCAAGTTTTCATACCACTGTTAGAATTTCTCTCTGGTATGTTTCTTGAAGTTACGTAAATTAGGAAATCTTTTGCGAAATATCAATGTACCCCCTAAAGAGAGCTAGCTTGTATAAACACCCAATCGTATTCGGCGAAAAGTTGTTGATGAGTTGAAAATGTTTCACCTTAGATACTCTCAATACACGGTAACTCTTGCTGATAATGTCATTTCATCCTGGTTTGTCAATTTTCCACTGTTGTTAAGAAAGCAATTCGTGCCATTTATTAAAAAAGTAAGTCCACATCTCATTCTATTGCCACGGAGATTGCTTGCTAAATTTTCAATAGATATTAAGAAGTGGTCTTTAAACTTTATACAGCTTAGTCAGTGTTGTTACATAAACTTGTCCATTTCATGTTACATAATTTTGCTAATAATGAAGCTCGTTTTCAATCATTTGAAAACTCTGTTAAAATATATGTCCTTGTATTCCTTTAGAGTCTTAACAACACAGATATATGTTCAGATGCTGCAAACCCATACCCTAAAGTCACTCATCCCTCCACCAAATTCCAGTCACCCCCAAACTCCCTTGAGAAATCAAAGGAAGACTACAGCAACACACTTAGTTCAGAGATGATGGAAATCGTGGTTGATATGATGGTCAAATATACATTTTCTTCTTATTTGACCCAACCAAAAACGTCTGTATATTGGCTTCGTATTTTTCTGCACTGTGTTTCAAGGAAGATGACTATTTTGTTGTTGTTGTAGAACTGCAGTTGTAGAACCACTCCTGCACAATGGAGCGTCAAGAAGTTGGTTGCTTGGCAATGTGTTGATCACGGTTACAGTCAACAAGCGGGCAACTTCGAACATGTCATGCGCATATTGTTCGGCAGGAAAAGTGTTTGTGGGAGATGATTCACTGCAGAAGGGCACGGAGCCTGAGGTTTTAAAAGTTGAGCTTAAGAGAAACAAAAACGAGGCCTCAATTAGTCAGGTAAGGAAAATGCTTTCAGTATCATTGTTTAAATTCGCATACGCTGTCTGCCCAGCGTATTTATTCTTAAACAACAAAAATATTTGGAAGAGCAACCAAGTTTAAATATTCTTCTAGTGAAAGCTCTTAGGAACGTATTTGACATTTCCAGGCTTCTTCAACTGATAGCAAAGCTCGTGCAGATGATTCTAGCCAGGTGTCAAACACAAAATTCGATACGAAAGCAGCTGACTTTCTTACCCGCGATTTAAAGGCCACTGGTACCGTAGGCTCAGTACAGAAATCTTGTGACTTAAGCAATGGGTGCAGTTGCGTTGGTCAAGGATGGGTTCAGATTCTAGTTCGAAGACGAATTAGAGATACTTCGTGGATTTTGAGACTACAAAGTCGGCCGAAACTCGATGAAACACAAACTTTACTACCAGCGGTGGGAAAGACAGGGATTTATGAAAGTTTAATTCCATAACAATCCTTTTGTAAGCCCATTTATTTTCTCAAACCTTCCCAACCTTCAATTGTGCCACGCGTCACTAGAGTTGTCGATGGGGAAAACTTTGTTGAAGTTTGCAAGTCAAAAGGCAAGTCGATTCTATCGCTACAAAAATTTTTAGAGTTTGCATTTTTATTCTAAAATCCATTTTACTTCACATATTTCTTTAGTTGTTCAGTTATATTGGCAAGCAATTGCTTTTGACTTTCAGGTGCGATTTATTACTATATCGAGAATGGCTTGATTGGCGAAGGTGGATTTGGTGGAGTATTCAAGGGTGATGCCATAAAAAGAACTAGAAAAACATCGATAATTCTCACACAATGTCTCTGCTTCGAAAAACAAGCATTTTTCTTGGCATTATTGGCCATATTGCCATGCTTCTGAGATGAATTAAGATTCCCAAATCATACTAGGTTGCCAGCCCTTACGTTGATTTTTCAGAAAAACCATCCTGTTTTTCATTTACCAAGAGATCGATCTTTCAATTTTTACATTTGAGACAAAGGGATTCAGGTAAACATTGACATTTCGTTGCTGTTAAGATTAAAAGTGCTTAAATTTCTGGCACAATGGCACTCAATAAGTACTTTATTAATGCCAGGCGAAGAAAGTCAGCATAATGTTCCTTTATCCATGAGTTATTATTGTCTTGATGATGACATAAATAATGCTGTCATTGCTGTGGCTATATTGCTTGCCTTGTTAATTCATTATATTTGTTCTTTTAGATTAGAACAGAATTTTGCAACATTGCATGGGGAAAGACATGAGGAGATTCAATAAATAAATGAGAGACCATGGTAACTGAGCAAGTCTGATAATTAGGAAGTTTTAGATCAAAGAGGACATTATATTATAATAATGATTAGCCTAAATCTAGTTTTTCCATGAATACATACCATATTTTATGTGGTATTATCGGTAAAAGATACATGTATTAATATAGTGTCACGACAACCAACCGTACAACGAGAGAAAGGCGAAATTTTAATTAAAATTTCAAACATCGTCTCGTTTTTTCTTTTTTGGATTTTTAACCATCGTTTTATTGTTTTTTACGAATTTTAAGACAGTGTAAAACCGAAAAGAGAATAAATAACAAACTTTATTAGAGATTTTTAAAAAATTCCGTATTTATTGCAATTTTCCGTATTTAGTGTTCAATTACTATGCTCATGAAATTTTGACTGATGCATTCGCATCAGTCGCATCAGACATCAGTCTGGATCCACCCCTACGTAGAACCATAGAACCGTAGAACAATGGAGCCGTAGAATCCTGGAACCGTAGAACCCTGGAACCGTAGAACCATAGAACCATGGAACCGTAGAAGCGTAGAAGCGTAGAACCGTAGAACCGTAGAACCGTAGAACCATAGAACCGTAGAACCATCAAACCATAAAACCGTAGAACAATTTAATGGTAGCATTATATTATTAGTGCCTTATAATTATGCATTACATATTTAATTAATTATTACAATATATTTCGTGACTTGTAACCCGGCCTTATAACCCTCATTAGTGATCTGCCACATAATATTTCATCAGTCCTTTCATCACGCGCCCGACGTATCAAATATCATGGCGGAAATGCAATCGAATGTTTTCGATTTTGTGTGTCTAATAATGTTCATATTTCAGTTGTGAGTGATCGAAACTTTAAAATGGCAAGCGACTACGATGACGACAATATCGCTTGTCATTTTACGATCAAACACTCGTGGTGGGAAAGTGATTTCCGTGTAACCATCGTGTACTTTCTTCGTAGTTTGTTTACCAGTCCGGGCTCGTGATGGGCATGGTTGGTTAACTGGACTTCGTTTCACATCGTTTCTAGGTATAAGAGAGTGTTCTCCATCGCATCGAAAGCGGTAAAAACTGACAATTTTTCTACCTTTGAAGTCACCATCAAGTAGTGTAATAGTTCTGGATACTTTTGTACTTTCACACTCAAGTATGCTCTGGTATTATTAATAATACCAGGTAATTTATTTTTGTTATAACAAATTACAGTTTTCTAACCGAGTATGTGACTTTAATACAGGGTGCAATGTTTGTCAAATCACTTTGATGTAAATTTTGATTAAGATGTCTTGTGCAACCTGGGCTTATCTGACTTATGTATCCTGACTTCCAGTTCCATCATATTGATACAATATAATTGCTGCATGATCCTGGGGTTTCAAATTTGAATTTGCTTGCAAATGGCTAACATATTAATAGCTCTCTGTTATGATCAACAACTATTAGAAAGTTTTGGAAAATGTCAAGAATTCAGACCAACTCCGAATAGAGGTTCATTTGCTGATTTTCTAAACAATTATGTTGAAATCAATCCTATGTCCTTTTAGGATTTTATCATCATTTCCATATTTTCATGCAAATTATTGTATGTAGTATTTCAACACCTGACCACTATCATTCTGTCTTTGTATGTATTTCGGCAACTGGATAACTGCAGCCATAAAGTTCTCAATCTATTTTGTCATTGCACATGTGAATGGCTGTACACCAGCAGAAAGTTATTAACTGACTTTTCAAAATATTTAGTGGGCTTACAAGATTTTCTAAACATCATGCCAAGCTTTAAAGGCACAACAGATTATCATTGGTGTGGAGTGTCAGTTGTCATCTTGAGATAAATAAACTGACAACTGCTGGTAATTTGTAAAATCTGTCTTTGTTTATTTATAGACAAGCAGGCAAAAGACTAAGCATATCTTTTCTACCGAGCGCAGAGAAGACCTTATCACAGAGGCTTTAGTAAGGAAGTGTTATTTCTTTATTTCGTACCTTTGTTTTACTGTATTTGTACAATCTGTCAATTAACCACTGATTAGTATATTTTAAAGTTCTACAAAGACTTTGCTTGTCATAAAAGTGGAGTGAATTGGTATGTTCGGGTTATTATACCTCATTCCTTAAATGAAACTTTCGCATAATCAAATTCGTAATTCATCATGGTATCAATCCCCCCCCTCTGTCTTCAAAAAATTAGGTCCATTCCTTTTCTAATTATAAGTGGGTTCTTATTATAAAGTGATAAGCTAACTGAAGTAACGTTTCCAAACTATTTCAACATCAACATATGCCATTTTTTGTGTAGAAGATTAGTGGTTATAATTACATTGGATGAACGAAAGGTTGCACTCACGTTACAGTTACTTTATTGTTTTAAAGTTTCTTGATAACTTACCTCTGTGTTTATATACATATATTTCCTTGTTATTAGCCATTTTTGAACCAATTTGTTCATTTAGGTGTCACCAGGCTCACTGGATCAGATTGATTAAGAGATAATAAAATTGGCTTTCTTACAACTATAAAAGATATAGAACTGATTGCACTGGTATGATACTTGATTGCCAGACATTTGATTATTTGTGATTTGCAATAATTTAACTCAGGCTTTCATTCCTTTCTATCTTAGGTCTCAGATTATCCTAGGGGATTTGTTGTTGTCTGTGGTGGTTATTAGCAAATGGTATGTACAGATGCTGCTAGTACCAGCCATATAATAACAAAAGGATAATACCGGTTATTTCTGCAAATTGAAGTTTTACTTTTGTGCACATTTTGTTTTTGTCTTCCAGCATCTTTTCACATCAAACAGAGAGAGGAATTGCTGAAAAGATGATGGAATCTTCTTTCAATAACGTTGACGTTACAAGTATGTGAACATTTTATTAACCTATTTAACCTATTTCTATAGTGCGTGTGAGAAGACGTATATTATAAAATTTATTACAGCAATTAAATTCTATACACTACTAGCAACATATCTGAGATGCAATTTATTCAACTAATTTAACGAGAGATATCTGGTATTTGTTATGCATACTTATTAGATTAAACCATAACCATAACCGTTTTTTTCTTATGAACTTCGTGAAAAGATCAAGTAATTAATATTCTAGCCTTCACACATCTTTCTCTAGTGGTGAGAACAAGGGTTTCCCAATGGTAAATCGATGCTTCGAATCTTCCATAACCGTTTTTTCATTATGAACTCGTGGAAAAGATAAAGTAATCAATATTCACAGCCTTCAGCACATGATCTTGTAGTCTATTGGAAAAGACATGGTCTCCAGTGGTAACTCGATGGTTCGAATCTTACCATACCGTTTTTTCATTATTAACTTCGTGAAAAGATCAAGTAAATTAAAATAATAATAGCCTTCAGCACATGATATTGTAGTCTATTGGAAACACTGGTCTCCCAAGTGGTAATCGATGATTCGAATCTTACCATAACTGTTTTTCATTATGTCCTTCGTAAAAACGTTATAGTAATCAATAATCTCAGCCGTATATCACATGATCTCGTAGTCTAGTGGTGAAGACAGTGGTCAGCGAAATGGTAAATTGATGGTCCAAATCTTATCATAACCGTTTTTATTATGAACTTCGTGAAAAGATTTAGTAAACTAAATAATGATGTCGTTCAGCACATGATCTCGTAGTGTAGTGATGAAGACAAGAATCTCCCTAGTGGTAAATCGATGGTTCGAATTTTACCTAACCTTTTTCATTAAGTCCTTTTTCAAAACGTTAAAGTAATTAAATCATCATAGCCCTTCAGCATGGTCTTGTGTCTATTGGAGAACGCAATGGTCTTCCAAGAGGTAAGTCGATGGTTCGAATCTTCCTAACCGTTTTTTCATTATGAACTTTTTGGAAAGGTTAAAGTAAATCAAATATTCATGGCCGCTCAGCACATGATCTCATAGTCTAGTGAGGAAGACAATGGTCTCCAATGTGGTAAATCCATGGTTCGAGTCTTACTTTAACCGTTTTTTCATCATGAACTTCGTGAAAAGGTTAAAGTAAATCAAATATATACAGCCGTTCAGCACATGATCTCGTAGTCTAGTGGTGAAGACTATGGTCTCCCAAGTGGTAATCGATGATTCGAATCTTACCATAACCGTTTTTCATCATGTCTTTAGTAAAACGTTAAAGTAAATCAAATAATCTTAGCCGTTCAGCACATGATCTTGCAGTCTAGTGGTCAAGGCAATGGTCTCCTAAGTGGTAAGTCGATGGTTCGAATCTTACCATAACTCTTTTTCATTAAGTCCTTTGTCAAAAACGTTAAAATAAATCAAATAATCTTACCTGTTCAGCACATGATCTCGTAATCTAGTGGTGAACACAGTGGTCTCCCAAATGGTAAATCAATAGTTCAAATCTTACCATATCCGTTTTTTCATTATGAACTTTGTGAAAAAGATGAAGTAAATTAAATAATAATAACCGTTCGGCACATGATCTCGTTGTCTAGTGGTAAAGACAGTGGTCTCCTAAGTGGTAAGTCGATGGTTCGATTCTGACCATAACCTTTTTTTCATTATGAACTTCGTGAAAAAGATAAAGTAGATTAAATAATCATAGCCTTCTGCACATGATCTTATTGTCTAGTGATGAACACATTGGTCTCCCAAGTGGTATGTCGATGGTTCAAATCTTACCATTATCGTTTTTTCATTATGAACTTCGTGAAAAAGATAAAGTAAATTAAATAATCGTAGCCGCTAAGCATATGATCTCGTAGTCTAGTGGAAAAGACAATGGTCTCCCAAGTGGTAAATCCGTAGTTCGAATCTTACCATAACCGTTTTTTCATTATGAACTTCGTGAAAAGGTTACAATAAATAAAAAAATCATAGCCGTTCAGCACATAATCTTGTAGTCCAGTGGTGGAGACAAGGGCTCCCTAGTGGTAAATCGATGGTTCAAATCTTACAATACCCGTTTTTTCATTATGAAATTCGTGGAAAAGATAAAGTAAATTAAAAAATAATAGCCCTTCTGCACATGATCTTGTTTTTTGGAGACACATTGGTCTCCTAAGTGGTAAGTCGATGGTTCGAATCTTACTATTAACTGTTTTTTATTATGTCCTTCGTAAAAACGTTAAAGTAAATCAAATAATCGTAGCCGTTTAGCACATGATATCGTAGTACTAGTGGTGAAAACAGTGGTCAGCCAAATGGTAAATCGATGG